CTCCTGGACTTCCATCTTCATGCATTTTAGTGCATGGAATTTAGTGATTTCTTCACTCACCACTCTGAACTCTCACCTCTCATAGACCGAGTGAGGAAGGGGGTCAGGTCCCAGACGGTGCAAGTGGCTAGGTGGGAGAATAAAGTGTGTGCCAGGTGCCCGCCAGCTGTGGCATGAGAGCTTTCTGAAGGCTGAGCCGCCTGCTGCCCCAAAGAAATTTAGAAAGAGATAACATCCACATAATTTTAATGATAGCATTTTAAACTTGTTTGTTATTATTGATGCTTAGTATGCCTAATCTATATAACTTCAGTTTATCATAGACATGTATAGGGAGATTAATGTGTTTGCTGTTCAAGTGTGTGGTCCTGCGTTTGGTCCATCCACAGAAACCACATGAAAAAGCTGGCTGTGGTAGTGCAAGCCCTGCAGTCCCAGAACTGGGGAGGTAGAGATGGATCGATCCCTGGGGCTCGCTGTCTAGACAGCTAAGACTAAGTGGCAGGCTGCCAGCCAACGGACCCTGTCTAAAAGAATAAGGTCAGTTCTGAAGAATAACATCTGAGGTCACACTTCCACATTCATGTGTGCACCTGCATGCTGGGTACCTGTATACTTGCACACTTATTCTCCTGCACAAACATGTACACACATACCGATGAAGCACAGTCTGAAAAGGTGTCCTTGTGGAGTCTTGGGGTGTATTCTCCACAGAGAAGGGGCACCGCAGTGACTCTATAGCCTATATTCAACTCCAAAGGTGTTCACTTTTTATCCTAAACCACCAAAGGGCTGGGCTTTAGAACAATGGATAGTTTTGCAACAGGCTTTGCGATGAAATTAATTCCTATCTTTAGAAAATTCCACCCTCCTGTCCCCCAAGATTGAGGATGTAGGCCAGACAATCAGAGTCACCCGGGAGGGAACGGTCTCCTCTGATAGCTATTCTTATTCTCAGCCTTCATGGAGACCTCATGAACGTTAAATCAGAGAGTGGGTATTATGTGATATTTTAATTAATTAAGGAAAACCACATTGCTCTGGTGTCTGTGAATGAATTCAGGATACAGAGCCCAGCACCATGCTTGCCACAGTAGCTCAGTGAGGCCGGCTCCTCTCCCCTGGAGTGTGGATGCCATTATAGGTCAGGGCTGCCTGTGAGCTCTGACGTGGTGGCCTCCTGGCAGAGAAGTGCCTGGTTCCCACAGGCAGAGAGTTCTCACAGTGCCAATCACTGGCTGACTGTAAAGTTCCTGGGAGGATGTGTCAGGCTAGACACAGCACCATTTGACAGAAGAGAGACATATGCATATGTCCACTGGGGTCCTGAAACCAGTGCCCTGAGGTTAGCGGGGAGGGGGGGGTTGGCTGTATCGTGTGTCTTTTGCTTCTGGCCTCCCTCCTCCATCAGTTAGGAAGCCGACTGTTTCTGTCCAGTTCCCTGCTGCAGCCCCAGCACCTAGCACAATTCCCAGCCCACAGAGAAACACTTAATCAAAGGTGCTGAGTGAGGGAATAGACAGACGGATCTCCTTTCCCTTGCTCCTAAGCCTGCTTCTCCAGCAAGGGTCCCTGTTTGCCTCCCCTCCCTCCCACCCCCACAGGTTCTCATATACTCTAGCACAGACTCAAACTTGATATGTGTCCCAAGGTGACTGTGAACTTATGGTGCTCCTGATTCCACTTCTAGAGTGCTTGGATTACAGGTGTGTGCCACCATGCCTGATTATATGTGATACTGAGGACCAAACCCAGTGTTTCATGCATGCTAAACAAATACTCTATTAGCTGAGCTATCTCCCCCAGCTCAAGGCTCCCTTCTGCAGCAGCTGGCAATTCCTGCCCACACACACTGGTTACCCCAAACAAGAGGGGTACCTTTAACTCCCCTCTGGCACCATCTGTCATCTTACCCTGCTTCCTGGCTGGTCGGGATCCCCCTTGTACCCTGCTCAAGCTAGTGCTATGGTGGCAAAGCAACAGTGTCCTACACAATCTGCCCCAGGTCCATCGTCCACATGGAAATAGAGTGACATTTAGACGCTGAATCTAAGCAGGTCCCTTTAAGACTGCCAGAGCCGGGCGGCGGTGGCGCATGCCTTTAATCCCAGCACTCGGGAGGCAGAGGCAGGCGAATCTCTGTGAGTTCGAGACCAGCCTGGTCTACAAGAGCTAGTTCCAGGGCCGGCTCCAAAACCACAGAGAAACCCTGTCTCGAAAAAACCAAAAAAAACAAACAAACAAACAAAAAAGACTGCCAGGACTTCCTTAGGGTACAGGCAGAGTGCTCCAACCCCTGACTACCTACCCTCCCCCCAGCCTCCCTGTTCCTGGGGGAACAGTTTACCTGTCTCTGTGCTTCTTACAGGCTCTGGCCTTCCCTCTCCCAGAAAGGCCTGCCCCTTCCCAGTGGTCTTGCCACCTCCCTCACCAGGATCTTGTGTCCCACTCATGCTGGGCCTTGCCCTGGGCTGAGCCGAGTGCAGCAGGCAGAGGAGAGAAAGTCCCAGATTGTGTTAACCCTGCCTAGCTGCTTAGCAAATGACTGGGGGCATCCCGGGGAGGGGTGCTCTGTATGAGCCGGTGGCTTGTGGGTACATCTCCCAAAGGGGACCCCTGAGGGCAGTGAGACAGTGCCTTGTGGGTACATCTCCCAAAGGGGACCCCTGAGGACAGACGGGAGCTCCGGATGAGGATGAGCCGGGGCTGACATCTTGGCCCCTGCACTTCCTTGTCACCCTGTCAACCCCATTCTGTAATTGTCTTACTTGCAGACTGAGCTCCCAGCAGGCTATCTAGTCTGATTCACTTTCTCCTAATGGTCCCAAAAGGACTTTTTTTTTTTTCCTCTTTCAGATCAATGAAGGATCTGAGCAAACTAGTGGAAGTGGGGACCACAAGAGGTCAGCCTTGTACCCACAATGATGCCAGCCCACATGGAAGTGCCTTGGTGGCATGGGGCTGATCAGGGCAGGTGTGACTGGGGCACTATTGTGGATTGGGGGACACAGACTTGAGCTTAAAGATTTGGTTAGATGGGCTCCTAAGTACACCCCTTTGTCTGGCCCCTAGAGCATGCTCATGGAAAACTGACTCAAATAAGTGCTTTACCAAGCCTCCCAGAGCCAGAGTGATGGCTCCAAGGTTAGGAACGCTTGCTGCTCTTCCAGAGAACCTGAGTTCAGGTTTAGCACCCCATGTCAGGCAACTAACAAGCCACCTGTAACTCCGATTCCAGGGCGGTATTTGATGCCCTCTTCTGGCTTCTGCAGGCACCCATACACACAGGTACACACACAGACAGGCACCTGTACACACAGTACACACATAGATAGGTACCCATACACACAGGTACACACACAGACAGGCACCTGTACACACAGTACACACATAGACAGGTACCCATACACACAAGTACACACACAGAGGCACCATGCACACAGGTATACAAACAGACAGGCACCATGCACACAGGTATACACACAGACAGGCACCGTGCACACAGGTACACAGACAGGCACCCATGCACACAGGTACATATGCAGACAGGCACCATACACACAGATACACACATGGATGGCTTTCAAAGTACAATATCTACCACAGCTCAACCTTGCAGGCCATGTGCCAGGCTGAAGGTCGAGGCCCGAGGAAACCCCCATTCCTTGTCTGAGAGGACACAGTCTATCCTGTAGGGGACACATGACAGTGGGGTGTGAAGTGGCCCGTCACACTGTGTCCACATTTCTTCAGGAAGTAGCTCATCCTGCTCCCATCGTTCTCCCTTTTCCATTTAGTCTGAATGCCCAGGCCCTGGGGTGATAGCAGCTACGTTTAGGGTGAGGTTTTTCCAATTTAACTTCTCTGGGAGGCTGAGCGGAGTCATCCAAGCATACAGTGAAGATAAACCATCATAATCAGAAGCCCTCACTACAGTGTGATGGGGTTACAGTATGGCTATAGAGATGGCTGCAAGGGCCTCTTAAGAGAAATACAAGGAGGACACTGAGCCAAGGCCATGTCAGCCTTAGAGAAGTCTCAAAGGAAGGGAGACGTGAGACCCAAACAAACCTACAACCCTCAAGAAGCCGTTTCAGACCAAACCCAAGTCCTGGCCAACATTATAACAGCGAAGGAAGGTGGAGATACAGTTCCGCTGGTAGAGACTGTTTAGCATGCACAAAGCCCTGAATTTGATCCACAGCACCTCGTAACACTGGTTGTGGTGGTACGCACCTGTAATCCCAGCACTCAGGAGGTAGAAGAAGGAATACCAAAAGTTCAAGGGCATCCTTGTCTACACAGCAAGCTCTGAAAATCAAAATCATTTTGATGGCAGGTTGTCTAAAAGATAACCAGGGCAAAGCATTCACAGAGTGTAGCATTCCCTGAGTGCTCACAGACAGTAGCTTTCACCAGGAGGACATTCACAGACTGTAGTGTTCACAGAGTGTAGCATTCAGAGTGTAGCATTCACAGGTTGTAGCATTCACAGGCATATTATTCACAGCATGTAGCATTCACAGAGTGTAGCATTCACAGATATGGCATTCACAACAAGCAGACTTAAAAACTTGGAAGAATTTGTAAGCACCATAAACTACAACAGAAGACAAGGAGACAGCTGGGCTTCAGCTTCTGACCTTCCATGACTACCACCATGGGGTGTGTGTGTGTGTGTGTGTGTGTGTGTGTGTGTGTGTGTGTGTGTGTAAGCATTAAGGGTGGCAATAGAGAACTCTGAGGAACGAAGCTAGCAAACTCTCCTTGTGAGGTGACTCAGTAGAGGTTAGGAGGATGACAGTGAAAACCCCTAAATAATATGGACTTGCTCTGGCCAGAACTATAGCAATATTCCCATAGGTCTTTGTACTTCAGTCAAGAGAAATCAAAGAGAAGCCCAGGAACTTAGGGTAGGAGGGGCCAGATGACTACCTGGGTCCTCTAAGGCCCAGAGATAGTAAAATGTTCAGGAAAGAGAAAAAAAAAATCAAGACAGATTTGCAAATAGAACATTGAGCTTATTTTAATTTTAAAATGAAGTTCATTCCCATACCCTAATTAAGAGTGTAATTCGGTAGTAAATCAGTACAATTGCAACGTCATACAACCATGTCCACTGCCCAATTCCACAACATTTTCAAGACCTCCTCAAGAGGAGCCCAGTATCCACAAACAGCCATTCCCCTCTTCCCCTCCCCCCAGTCCCTGCTGGCCACTGCTCCGCTTTCTACTACGGATACAGGTTTGGGCATTTCAGCACGAGGCTGTCTTCTTTCTCTCTGCGTTCTGTGCTCAGGCTCATCCATGCCGCACCTGGATCAATTCACCATTCCTCTATACGGCTACAGTCAACGGCTTTAAATACACCTTTAGCGACTCCTAAGGTGTCCTGGCAATAATAGGAAGGTCATCAGGGAGGCTGGGACCTGGGCCCAGGTGGGGAGCACTCTGAGCCCAGCCACCACCTGTACTTTAAAAAGAACAGCTCTGACTTCACCACTTTATTTGCTGACACTCTTCGTAACTCTTCATTTGGAACTCGGGCCAAAGTCAAATGTTTCCACCCGCTGGCGGGATGTCGCGGAACTGCAGGACATGGCTGGGCCTCCGAGGAAGGTGGCCAATCTCAGGAGTTCTTCTCTGGAACCTTGATGGTGACTGTCTTCACCTCTGTGTAGGCTCTAAGCCCGTCTTCCCCCAGCTCCCTCCCGTTGCCGGATTCCTTAAAGCCTCCAAACGGCGTGTGGCAGGTGACGATATTGTAGGTGTTCACCCACACTGTCCCAGCTTGCAGGGCCTGGGTGAAGTATAAGGCCTTGTCCAGGTCTCTGGTGAACACAGCCGCAGCCAGGCCATACCTGGTGTTGTTGGCCCTCTGAATCACTTCCTCGATCTTCTTGAACTTGAACAGAGGCTGCACGGGCCCAAAGATCTCCTCTCTGGCAATCTTCATGTCGTCCTGCACATCCCCAAAGACTGTGGGCTTGATGAAGAAGCCACGATCCCCAAAACGCTCCCCACCGCAGAGAAGTTTTGCCCCCTCCTTCTGACCAGCCCAGATGTAGCCCAGGATTCGTTCAAACTGCTCCTTGTCCACCTGAGGCCCCTGTTGGGTGTCCAGTTCAAAGGGGTTCCCCACTTTCCTCTGCTTGGCCTTCTCCACAGTCCTCTCGAGAAACTCCTCATAGATGGATTCTTCCACAAATGTCCGGGAACCCGCGCAGCAGCACTGGCCCATGTTAAAGAAGAGGGCTTCGTGACACTGGTCTACTGCATGAGCCATATCGGCGTCTGCCAGCACGATGCTGGGGCTCTTCCCACCCAGCTCCAAGGTGACTCTCTTGAGGTTGGAGTCCCCAGCAGCTTTCTGGATCAGGTGGCCCACCTCGGTGGAGCCCGTGAAGGCAACTTTATCCACATCCATATGCCGGGCTAAAGCTGCCCCTGCGGTGGGGCCATAGCCAGTGATGATGTTCACCACTCCCGGGGGAAACCCCGCCTCCTTGATGAGGGAGGCCAAGTACAGGGCAGAAAGCGGGGTTTGCTCCGCCACCTTCATGACCACAGTGTTGCCTGTAGCGAGTGCCGGGGCCAGCTTCCAGCCTTGCATGGCCAGTGGGAAATTCCATGGGATTATCTGGCCGCAGACACCCACTGGCTCATGCCGGGTGAAGCAGAAATGCTCGCCATCCATAGGGATGGTTTTACCATGCCACTTGTCAGCCCAGCCAGCAAAGTAACGGTACACCTTGATGACCTCATCCAGGTCCAAGACATAAGACTCCTGGAAAGGTTTCCCATTATCCAAGGTCTCCAAAGAGGCCAAGTACACCCGATCCCGTTCCACGAGATCAGCCAAACGGTTCAGCAGCCGGCCCCGCTCGGAGGCATCCATTCTGCGCCACGGGGACCCCAAGCGGAAGGCCTCCCGGGCTGCTTTCACGGCCAGGTCCACATCAGCCCGGTCACCTTCGGCCACGTGCCCGATGACCTCGCCTGTGGTGGGGTTCACTGTGGGGAAGGTCTTTTTGCTGACTGCCTCACGCCATTCGTTGTTGATGAACAGCTGGTTGTAGCGAATCTCTGGGTTTGGGATTGGGTTTGGGAGAGGAGCTACGGTAGAGTACGAGGGGTGCCGACCCTGGAGGCAGAGCAGCCGGTGAGCCAAGAATCGGACGCTCAGCATGTTGAGGACCTTGAAGCAGATAGAATAAAAAAAAAAAAAAAAGGGCAAACTGGTGAGAGTGGGCGGGGCTACCTGAAGGCCCACTGATACCAAGGAGTGTATCCTCCTGAAACATAGGCCGTGGGGTACAAAGGCCCGAAGAACTCTCTGGTCCACCCATTATGTCCCCCTCAAGTCTGCCCCCGTTTCGCACCTCTTCTGGGTCTCTTATGAAATACCACCTGCTCTGCAAGGCCCTTCTTGGTCCTCCCGTTGCAGTGTCTGGGACCTATAGCCCACACTTCTGAACAGAAATTTAAGGCGCTCATGAGACACACCAGATACGATGTTGTCTGTGGACAGATAGAACGGTTGAGGAAGTGGGGCAGAAAGGCCAATGTGTGACAAAAGCCGTGGTCCTCTGTGAACCTTTAATGTTTGAGCAGCTAAATCTCTTCTCTCCAGCCCTGCTCCCTCCCCCTTGGGAACAGTTTTTCCCTTAATAACATGTCTCCGGGTCTCTGTTCCTGCTACAACTGTGTGCTGTGGCTTAGTTCCCTGTCTGGGGACACAAGAATCAGGAGCTGGGACAGGGGATATAGCCCAGCTGATGAGAGTGCTTCCCTAGCTAGGACAAAGGCCTGGGTTCAGTCACTGATGGGGCACCTCTCTGTAACCCCAGCCCTTAGGAGGTGGAGGCAGGAGGATCAGGAGTTCAAGGCCAGCATTGGCTGTGTAGTGAGTTTGAAGACAATCTCTGACACGTGACAGACTATCTGAACAAACAGACCAACCTTGGAACACCTCTGAACCCCCAGATTATTGCTTCTCAACCTAACACGCCACAGACTGTTTTTACACGTGTCTGTCAGTGATGGTGAGCTCCTCCTCCAGGCCAGGGACTTTTGCAGCTGTCATTCTATCCACGGCTAGTGTTACAGACACAGAGGGAAGGGACAGCGAGGAACCAGAATTTCTCCAGGAAGCCCCCTTCTGAGGTTGACAATACCCCAGAGCCTCAGAAGATATGCAAAGTTCCAATTCGTATATCACTGCTGAAATCTGTACACACAGACCTCCTAGTCTGTTTCACCCTTTCCATACATTCTTAGTGAGGCTACAGGCAAGGTCAAGAGAAACTAAGAACTTTTCTTTTCCCTAGTTCTGGCCAAAAACATAAACAAACCATTCTCGGGCTGGATGCTAGAACTCACAACTATAACTAAACAAGCACTTGGGAGTTCAAGGTCAGCCTGGTCTACAGCATGAGACCCCTCCTTCCCAATGAAACAAACAACACAAACCTGTTTCCCTTTACTAATTCCGCTCTCCCATCAGATTCAGGCCTCTGGGTCTATTGGTTCTGGTGCCTAGAACGATGCCTGAGACACAGTAGCTACTCTATAGACACACTGACTGACAAGCTAAGGGAATGTGGAGATTTCCATAAAGGACACCCAATGAACTGGCCTGGGACCTGAGCAAGAACCCTAGAGATTTGGAATCTCAGTTCCCTCACCTGTAGAGTCCCCTGGGGTTGGTGTTGAATGGGGTCTTGCCTGGATAAAACCTGACACACTTTGCCCAGGCAGTCGTCGGAATACTCAAAGCCTCGGGAACCAGCCTGGCACAGACCGGAGCACAGTGGGAGGGGGCTTACCCTTCTGGGGTACAAGTCAAGCAGCAGCTGAGATGGGTCTGTTAGTGCCAACTCCACTTCTGAAAACATCAGACTTTACTAAAACGACTGTGGTAAAATATAACCAGTACCTAAACTCTGTAAGCAACTGCCAAGCAGCGTTTCTGGTTCCTGCTTAGCTATACAGCTTATCTCTGGCCAGGATAGAATAGCGGTGCCTTTTCTGGCTCACACGAGTCTTGCTCCACCCAACAGCAAAACATAATTGCACCAGCCTGACCCCTGACCTCCAGCCCTTTCCACCCTCTCTCCATGTGCAGGGAGAGGAACGAAAAATCCATTCAGGAAAACAAGGCTGCAGCTAGGTCCCTACCCACGCAGAAATTAATGTCTACTAGAAAGCCCTCCCTGGGGATTTGGTGTGTGTGTGTGTGTGTGTGTGTGTGTGTGTGTGTGTGTAGCAAACTGCTCTTAGGTCACACCAAACCTCTCCATCGCTTTCATTTTGCACAGAGGAAAGTCGCTAGTCACAGGTTATTTCGCTTTTCAGTTTGCGGTCTTCTCACCGGAACTTCACCAGCCTCCCGGAAGCCCTCAGGTGATAACAGATGTTGATAGTCACTGGAGAGGACTACAGAGATTCAGGGACCTCTCTAAGAAAGTATTACAGAAGCCTCTCATCCTTGAATTCCCAAAGGCCTAGCTTTGTTTTTCCTCCCTAATACTGGATGCTCGGTACCCACTGAGTGAAAAGCCTGCAGTAGGTAACCCAGGAACACCCACCTGAGCGAAAGGTGCTCAGGGCCCAGCTTCTCACTATGGCCAGTGGCTCTTGCGGCAGCGGGCCGGGTGGACGAGGGTGAAGGAACAGAACCAAGATGAGGTTTGAGAGGACTGTGCACCCCCCCCCCAGCCCGAGACAAATAGAAAAGGGGAGGGAAAGAGGCGTGGAAAGGGCCCTGCAAATACACCCGGGGAAGACCTGCCTTTCGGGGACCGAAGGGGTGCGGTGCCCCAGCGCGGAGGGAGGGCGGAGGTAGCTACCTGCAGCGGGCTCGAGCTCAGCGTCAGAGTCTCACTCAGGATCAAGTCCGGGTACGGTTTAGCTTACTCGGCTCAGTCCAGCTGCTGTGTGGAGTCGCCTCCGGGCATCCGCTGAGCAACCAATGAGGTTTCGCTTCCAGCTAAGCTCCGCCTGCTCCTGGGACCGCCCCCTACTGAGGAGTCTTGGCCGGGGATCCAGATTTCGCTTTTCTAGCCATTCTTGGCCCAGTAACCTGCACCCTCCAGAGGTCTCTGATTGGTCTCCCCTGAAGTAGGAGGTTCAAGTCTGAGAGCCTAAGGACAAAGCCTTTGGCAATGAAAGAGGGACTCAAAGAGGGGCAGGGTTTTCCCAGGATTACAGCCAGGCTCCAACCTGGAGACCCTCCCTAAAAGGCAGTCATTGACAGAGTTTGCTTATTTGATCAGCGTTTTTTGAGCCTGTTAGACTAGAACAGTACTGAAAATTCCAGCTCTGAGAATCGCGAGCAGAGAAACACTCCAAACAAAAAAACGGGCAATGTTGTTTATTCTACACTGACCGTCAATCTCTGCTTTTGAACTGAGGATGGACACTGGTCCAAGACTCTGAGGGGTTTGCAGGAATTGGACATTTAAAAACACACACACACACATTTTAAAAAAAAAAACAACAACCTAAAATGCAATCAAGAAGACAGTGGAAGTGACCCCTGTCGTGAATATTTCGGTGCAGATGTGTGGGTTCACGCGAGTCCGAGAAATGAACACTCAGAGACACATTGAGAATGAACTTAGCCGCTGTGTGCTGTGGCTGCAGAAGGCTCAGACTCAGTGATCTGAAGCCGTGCCTTCACCACCCGCCCCCAGCATCTTTATTTTTTTCTTATATTTACACTTTAGCTAGAAGATTTCCATATCTCAAAACAAACCGATAGAAGCTTTTGACAATACAACGCCAGGTGCAGATACTCGATTCAAGAGGTACCACAGTTTTCTGGGTTTCTCCTGAACCAAGTTTTCCATGGGGAACTCTCAGTCAAGATTCACACGGGGCAACAAGAGGTATTTGTGACTCAAAGGAAGGCCTAGGGGCTGTGTGAAAACTCCAGAGCCAGGCCAGGTATAACCTGGCAGGGTTTCAGGGCTAGTGGACCTTACTGGTGATCCCTCTGGCAATTCCCTCAGGGGACATTCTACCACAGATCCCCAACAGGGAAAGTTTGGAGGCCATATGGTGTGAAGAGTCCTGGACTGTGTTAGACAGCTGGTTACAGATTAGCAGAGTTGAAGGTCATTGGGAATGGGGACACCACCCTCATAATCAATGTCTTATAGGCTCCTACACGAAACTGCAGGATTTTATGATCGTCATAGGGGTGTGATCTTTATCATAACTTCCACACTGCCTGGGGTGGGGAAGTCATTAACAGATGACTATCTAAACAACTGTAACACGTTTATTGCCTAGCTTCAAGCTGTCTGGTAAAGAGCAAAGACTTACCATTCTCCCCTCTTTTAACAGTGAATCCAAATGGACGAATCACCTGGTCTGAGAACATTCCTCAGAAACAGCTGTCTGCTCTAGAGACTTGGGAAATAGTACAAAGTCTCCCCAGAGGAGGGTCCGCACAGTGTCTCTGACCGCGGTCTGCTCTCACTCTGGGGAGCGTTCTGCCCCCCCCCCCTTTGGTCATTGCCTAATCTCTTACCGCTCAGTGATAAGCTTTATCTGCCCTCTACTCTACATTCAGGGCGTCTCTTCCAGCTCCTTTTGTGGAAGTCAAGAACCAGGGAGCCAAGGAGAGGCTGGTGCCGGGGATTGAAAGACCTGGGGTAGTCACCCTTTAGAACTCAAAGTATGCCCTCCAAGTGTCTGAAAAGCAAGACCAGCCAAGGTCTGTGCAGTGCCAGAGGGCGAAGACAGATCAGCGAAGGGACGTCCCAGGACACCAGCAGGAAAACAAGGCGAGTGTGGGCCTGGGCTGGCACGCAGCTCACCTACGTGTGAGGTTTGAGTGCAGCTCCAGGTGGTGAGAAGACACTGCCGGAAATGCCCCCAACACTGTGAGGAATTTACCTCCTCGGGGACTAGGCTCAGTTAAAGCTAGACCCTTAACTGCACACACAGGAGAGAGGAATTTCAATGTAGGTAAGGGTTAGTACATGCTTTGTATTTAAGTGGAGACACTCAGAGACTCAAGGAAAAAAAGACCAAATGCAACCAAGAGTGAATATAGGTTTCTCAAGGAAGGGTCTTGTTTAGGTGTCTCTAAAATGGCCATAGATGGGTGGATGGAGAGATAGATAGTAGAGAGACCTGACTCGGTGCTCTAAGTTACTGTGTTCAAAGGATGTAATTTACAGTAAGGCATAACAACAAAGAAAAGTTGAAAAATTAAGTAAGAATCTAGGATCTGCTCTACATATTGGCCTTGACCTAAGGAATTTTCCTATGTAAACGGATCTGTAGATGGTAAGGTGGTCTCACCAGAGGCATTGCTCGGATTTAGAGACGAGAAGGGAACACTAACCCAGTTCAGTTCAAGGCCACGGACATTCCAGCCCTAAGGAAGCAGTGTTCTTGGTTGCTTTGGACATCCTGTCTGAGTTGTCTCCAGGAAGATGAGCACCACCTCTCTAGGCATCCTGGGTTCCATCAGTTGCGCTGAAGTTTCTTGACTCTCAGCGGAACACTAAACCTGGATCCCAGGGGGAGAGGCTTCTGCCCCATCTTTATATCCTTCCTAACACAACTAAACAAACACAAAATCAAGCAAAGCAGAGCTGGGAAGGGCTGCCTTGAAAGGTGGGTGTTCTCACTGAAGGAGAATGAGGAATCACAGACACCCCCATCTACGGACATCTGTTTGCCAGAAGCCTGCAGAAGGGAGCATCCAACAAGGAAGAACTAGGCTAGTGACTCTGCTACTCAGCCGTAGGTAAGAGCTGCAGGATGAAATGGAGCAGGTTATTATCTCCAAGGCTTATCTGCAGTCAAGGTCCCAAGACAGGATAAGAGCCAAGGATTTTTTTTTTTTAACTCCCCTCGTGTGTCTGATGATCAGTGTGTGGCCACGCTTAGGAAGCACAGGGCTAAGTGCTCTGTGCGGATTCTGGGAGCGCATCATTTTTCCAGAAAAAGTCGTCTGTGAATGGTCCATGTTTAAATCTCATCCAGCACATCCACCCCAAACACTTCAAACGCCGGTGGGCATCATGATTCACCAAAGTAG